GATCATCTTTTAATAAAGGAAAATTTGTATTGGGAGTTTTTATTGATCTTACAAAAGCTTTCGATACTGTCAACCATAAAATTCTGCTCGACAAAATGAGAAAGTACGGTATAAAAAACCAAACTATTAAATGATTCACTAATTATTTAAATAACAGACAAAAATGTGTTATAATAGACGGTATCACTAATACAAAGTTATTAAAAATAAAATGTGGTGTCCCACAGAGATCTATTCTTGCAACTTTATTATTTCTTATCTACATTAGCGATCTCCCTAAAGTCTCTACAAATCTCGATTGTATAATGTTTGCAGATGATACCAATCTGTTTTACTCATCTACCTCTATCAATGACCTTTTTGATAAAGTCAACATTGAGCTTCAAAAACTTAAAACATGGTTCAGTGCTAACATGTTATCAATAAACGCCCAAAAAACTAAATATATTTTATTTCACTCAAAGAAACAGAAAAATAAACTACCATCAATTCTACCCTCACTAAGTATCGAACACAAAAAAAATTGAAAGAACCCAAACAATTAAATTTCTTGGTGTGATTATTGACGAAAATTTTTCATCGACAGCCCATATAAATGCCATCAACACTAAAATATCTAAAAGTATTGGTATACTTTTTAAAGCTAGACCATTTTTGTCGCAAAAAAGCCTAAAACTTCTTTACTTTACCTTTATACATAGTTATCTCACATATGCCAACATTGCTTGGGGAAGCAAACACAAGACAAAGTTAATGTCCCTTTATCGACGACAAAAACATGCCTCCAGAATAATACATCATAAGAACAAACTGACCCACGCTAAACCCCTATTAAATGAAATGAAAGCGCTAAATATTTACCAAATTAATATCTATGCTAATATATTGTTCATGCTAAAATATAAATTAGGATTAGCTCCAAACCGATTTACAGAAAATTTCTTTCAATCTATGTCAACAAATTTAACTCAAGATCAACTGGTAACTTTATTATACCCCGGAAAAGACAAAAAAGTTCTCAATTTTCTATTTCTTACCGCGGCCCTTATTTATATAACAAATTAATTCCGAATTATACTTCAATTTCTCTTGCTGACAATATAACTTCTTTAAAGTCAAAACTAAAAAGTCATGTTCTCAATACAGATAATTACTTAGAAATGTTTTAGTTCCAATGATAAATTAATATTTACGCTCACATTCAAACAATCAGCAATCAATCAAAAATGAAAATGTATTTTTTTTTTTTTTAATTAAAAAATAAAGATAATATTATTATTATAAACCACCACACAAACACCATACATAGTATAATAAAAAGAAAAGAAAAGTCTACCTCAATAACATTTAAAATATTTATTTTATGAGAATCATAATGTTTATATGTGTACTTTACGCAACACCCCAAGGTTCTCGATGATAAGACTAAACTCATCTTCTACGAGTTCCCTACAACAGTCAAAACCCTTATCAAGTCATAGCATATTTAATTATTGCTTCCTATGTTTATCTTAACGGTATTATGTAAAATATTAATTTTTTTGTATTGGAAGTTTATTTTGTTTATGTTATCGCAGTGTAAAAAAATTTTGTAATTAGTATGTAGTTGTGAAAATTTAAATATATATATATATATATATATATATATATATATATATATATATATATATATATATATATATATATATATATATATATTTTTTTTTTTTTTTGATGTTTGCGTTTACCTCTACTTTTCCAAGCTTTATGAGAGCTTCTTTGTCCATCCTGATACGTTTTGCAACAAACTTTGACTTTTTTAAGTTGTTGAACTGCCTAAATGTATTTGTTAAAATTAACTAGTAATGTTCATCAACGTTGTTAAATTGAACACTGTAAATAATATTTGTACCGAATTAATATTATTTCGAAAATTCTTGTTCTGTGTAGAAAACCATCTAGAAGAGTGATTACATTTTCATCTCAAAACACATTTTGAAAAAACTGTTTCAACTTTAGACCGCTATTAAGACTGAAGGCTAAAGATTTAAAAAAAATATTAAATTAAAATATGTTTATAAAAGTCTTGACTACCGCCATAGAAAAAAAAATTTCGTGCCAAAAAATAAATAAAATATTAAAAAGTTGAAAGGATACATATTACGAACATGATACTTTAGTTGTTTTTGATTGCTTTCAAAGAAATATATTTCCTGTATTTTTATACTATATGCTATTGAGAAAATTATTCCCTAAAATTATTAATCCTTGACATTATCGTATAGATTTAACCCCGAATTTAAAATTGACTCCAGCCATCTATTACTATGAGTTGGTATATTTGATTAAAAAAAGATTTAAATAGGACTTAGATTACCCACTAAATCGGAAATTATGGGTCTATTGAACACATTTCAACTCGATGCTCTTCATTAAAATAACATTAAAATTTTTAATGTTATTTTAATGAAGAGCATTTATAAATGAATAAATAATAAAAAATAAATAACTAAAAATGAATAATAAATAAAGTTTTGTTGCCAGAAAAATAAATGCAAAAAAGTCAAACGCCTTAAAATCATGTTTAATTTCCGTAATAAATTTTCCCAAAGGCAGACTGTTTGAAAAATTGAGTGTATAACAACACATTCAATTTTTAAAATTTCAACCTTTTATTAAATTTCAACATTTCATAAACTTTTAAACAAAAAATTTGTTATTCCAAGATCTTATTTAAAATTCAGTCTGTTTCAAATTCAATATCATGGACCATTTCTAAGGAAAAATGTCTTTCAAAATACTATTAAAAATAAAACTCTTCTAAACTTCTATTTAGAAAAATTTAAAAAAGAATGTAAACGTTTCTTACTAGAAAACTTCGAGTTTAAATATTTCTTTTAAAACAAAATCAAAAACTAAAATAATTAAAACTTAAAAAGTCATAAAGACTCACTTATTTTTGTCTTGATCATCTGACTTTTATTTTTGTATAAATATAAAAAATTTATAGTATTGTTTGTTTTTAATATATTATCATTCTGTTTACCGTTTGTAATATCTGCGTGGAATTATATTGTAATTTACTTAATTTCTTTTTTTGTTGTTGTTAAACTTTTTGTTTTATTGTTAACTTTTAAATAGTAATATTAACTGACGGCGATAATGTAAATGAGGCTTGACGATAAGACAGTGTATGTCTTCTTCTTGCTCTGGCTATTTAATATTTACTATCTAACTGTGAATAAATTTATACGACAAAGAAAATCAGCAACAACACAGAAATAATAATAGTAATAATAAAAAGTTGGGGAACAGCAACAAAAAATTAGTACTGTCGTTATAAATTTGAATTTATTTCAAAGATCTTAGTAATAGCATCAAAAAGAAAATAATAGCTCGGTGATTAGGTACGACGTTCTCTAAGCGGTAAGGTATTAGTATTAAAGGTTCAAGATATAAAATCTCTATTAATAATAAAATAGTCATAAAGATAATTAAAATAGTCATTAAGCGGTAAGGTAATAGTCAGGTTCATGATATAAAATCTCTATTATAAAATTCTATTTAGTCATAATTTATTCAAGTGTAATTTTTATAAATGCGTTTTTTGTATTTATTTATTTTTTGATAAAATTTTGTGGTTTTTAAATATTTCTTTTATAAATTTTTAAACATTGCTGCTATACAATATAGTTGCACTTATTTAGATAGTGTTGAATCATTACAGTTGGTATAAAAAGGTTATAAAATGGTTTGTCTTTCAGTATAACATATATCTTCAGTAGCCTAGTGGTATAGTGCGCTGTCCTCTGACATCTTGAAAATGACGTTTACACTTACAGACGTTTGTATGTAACGCTATACAAATGGAATTTAATGTAAATAACGTATTATTATCAATTTACACCGAGGCAATTTTACATAGGAAGCGGGGTGTGTGTGAAACCCCATCTAAGAAGGTAATTTTAAAGTTATAGTTGTTTTATTGAGAAATATTGTTGGCTAGGCGAGTGTTTGATACATTTCAGTCGGGTGAATTTGAGAACATATTTTTTTTAGGAACCAATCCATACTTTTTAAAGTGTTTCAACCCCACCCCCCCGTTATTTATACAAAATCGCCTCTGAGTTTACATAAGTTTTATATTTATATATTTACATAAATTCTTTACAATTTGTATAAAAAGTGCCTAAAGACTTTTTCTCACCTCTAAGTTAGCTTTAATGCTAAAAATTTATAAATAAAAATATTCCAAGAGTTCCACGTCAAACACACACGAGCGAACACTACTACTGTTAAATTTAGCATTACTATAAAGAGATACAAAATCAATATATAGCGTTGAACCTCGGACTCTTGGTTTTAAACCAGAACAACGCAGCTGCACTTGATTAATAAAGATGTACCAGAACAGCGCGGCTAATGAAAAGTAATTAATTTAAAAGTATTTAAAAGCGATAGAATGCATTGAAAAACGTACATAAAAAATACTATATATATATATATATATATATATATATATATATATATATATATATATATATATATATATATATATATATATATATATATATATATATATATATATATATATATATATATATATATATATATATATAAACATACATACATACACATATACACACAGTTTTCGTTGTTTATTTTCGGTACAAAGTTAATTTATACGCTAATTTTAAGATTTTTGGATTAATAAAAATTCATTTAATTATAAGTGCTTAAGATGAGATTTTTTAGTAAATTTTTCAGAGAATTTAAATTATTCTATTTTTCTAATTGAGTATGTTTAGATATTAGTTTGTTGTATAGATAGGGATCACGGTATAAAATAGAAAAGCACGAGAGAGTTGTTTTTTTAAAAGGTACGTTGAAGTTTTCCGTTCCTCCTGTGTCATATCTCTTTTTGCTATTTTGAAAGAAATTTTTTGAAAAGTGAGAAGGTCCAAGTTTATATTTTAGCATGAATATCAGATTTTGGTATATGTTGATTTTATATACATTTAATGCTTTCAAGCTTTTTAATAGAGCAGAAAGAAAAGGCAATTGAAGAAAAACGTCAACAAGAGCAAGTGTTTGCAGAAGGTGTGCATATTGGAGATACATTAAAACAACTTGCTGAGCGTCGTTCTGATATATTTGGTGTTGGTGCTGAAGAAACTTACTTTGGTAAAAAACTTGGTGAAGAAGAAGGAACTAAAAAATCTGGATTGGAGATTTGGGATGGTCATACTGCAAGCATGGAGCGTACAACCAAGCTTGCACACTCTAACATTATATTTGAGGACCAAATTAAAGCTATACATAGATCGAAAGGTTTGCTACCATCAGAAGATGCTGAAAAAATTGGACCTGCAATACTTAACAGCACTGCTTCTAATACTGAACCATCCAAGTCTTTTGTACCACAAACTCCTGTATCCAAACCATTTCTTTTACCACAAGCTCCTGCTCCAGTTTCTATTCAAAGTACTATTTCGCAACCAATATTTAACCAATATGCCCAATCAGGATTTGACCAAACTACACAACCAGAAAATACATCTATAACCACTTCAATTCCTTCAACTCCTTCAATACCCCCTCCAGCAACTCAACTTATTCAACCCATCAGTGTTACACCTCAACTTCCACCACAACCTCCTGTTGCTCCTGGTATTCCAGCTCCACAACCACAATCTATTCGTATGGCTCCTCCAACACTTATTCCTCTCCCTCATACAATGATGATGCCTCCACCAAGATTAATGGTCCCTCCACTTGGTTCAATTTTTCCTGCTCCACCAATATAACAACCTATTCGAGAGGAAGCACCTTTAATCCTTCCTCCTCCAAAAGATGATGATGAGCCTCAATCTAAAAAATCTAAACTTGATGAAACAGATACAGAGTTAGTTTCTAAGGCTGAGTTTCTACAAAGTAATAAACTTCCTGTTACATTCAGAGTACAAGTTCCTGAAATTCCTGAAAAACCAGAGTGGCAGTGTCAAGGCCAAGTAATATCAATAACCCTGCCTCTTACAACGCAATGCTCTGTTATAAAGTCAAAGATAAATGACATGATTGGCATGCCTGCTGGTAAACAAAAATTGCAAATAGGGAACTTTTTCATTAAAGATTCAAACACCCTTGTATATTATAACTTCAATACACGTTCTGCCACCACGTTCTTTTACTTGCAACTGAACAAGTCTTGTTCAGTTGCAAGTAAAAGAACGTGGTGGCAGAAAAAAATAATAAAATGGTTGAAATAGATTATTACTTGAAATAGTGTTATAGAATGCAGGTCAACAAATATAATTTTCAACAGAGCATGCAATTATTGAATTAGTTAATCAAATAACCGATGGCTTTAATCAAAACAAGTTTACTTTAGGAGTTTTTATTGACTTATCAAAAGCTTTTGATACAGTTGACCACTGCATCCTATTAGATAAACTAAAATACTATGGTATAATTAATAAAACTTACAATTGGATTAAAAGTTATCTTACCAATAGAAAACAATATGTGTGCAATATACAACCTGGAGTATTAAATGTTTTATGTGGAGTTCCCCAAGGTTCTATCCTTGGTCCACTTCTGTTTCTAATTTATATAAATGATTTTTGAAATGCATCTTTAAAACTAAATTCAGTCATGTTTGCTGACGATACAAATCTATTTCTTACTAACAGTGATATCAAGAATCTATATGCAGACATGAATATCGAACTAATTAAAGTAAATAATTGGTTTAGAGCTAACAAACTCTCGCTTAACTCAGAGAAAACAAAATATATATTATTCCATAAAAAGGCGCAAGAAGAAAACCTTCCTCTTAAGTTGCCTAGCCTTATCCTAAATGATAACTTAATTAAAAAACAAGCCAGCATTAGATTCTTAGGAGTTCTTGTTGATGAGAAGCTATCCTGTCTTCCTCAAATAAGATATATTCAATCTAAAATCAGTAATATAATTGGTATGATGTATAGAGTTCGCTCATATATCAATAAACAAAGTCTAAAACTAATTTACTTTGGACTAATTCATTGCTTTATCAGCTATGCAAACATATCATGGGCAAGTACTCAGCCATCAAAACTTAAAAAAATCTATAGTCTACAAAAACACGCATGCAGAATCATTTACTTTAAAAATAAGCGGGAGCATGCAAAACCTATAATGAAAGATATGAAAATGATGGATGTTTTTGAAATAAATATCTATCAGCATTTAATTTTTATGTATCAATTTAATAATAATCTCTCTCCTACAAACTTTACTAACAAGTTTGAAATAAACATAAATAAAAACTACTATCTAAGAGCAAATATAAGTAACACATATAAACTGCCTCAAAACCTTAATAAATATACTGAATATAGCATTGCATATCGGGGGCCAAATATATGGAATAGATATCAAAAAGGATCCAAATGTATGGCAAAGTCATTAAGTTCATTTAAGTTTCTGATAAAAAAAAGAAATTTTTAAAATTTGATTATTATTTGTGCTTAAAAGGATTACAAAGTAATTTTCTTTATAATCTTATTTATTTGTTTTTATTGATCAGCGCAGCAGTTTTATGCCTATTAGGGTTTTTAATTTAATTTAATATCCATAACCTAATGAACCTAATATATAGGGGGCTCTATGAAAAGATTGCGATGATTACGATTACGTTTTGTCATCTTCATCTTCTTTGAGCCCCTGTCTGTTTAACTCTTTATTTTATAAAGATCATTGTAAAAAAGTATAGTTTATTTTATACTGTATATACAAAAACGGTGTTGTTGACAAGATTTTACTGTCTTCTTTGTTATACGGACATATTTCTTTCTTTCTTGTATATATATGTGTTGATTATATTTGTTAAACAGCAAAAAAAAAAAAAATAAATAAAATAGTGGCTCAGCAGGCGAGAGTCTATCCATATTATAAACTATTCTTACAGCATGTTTTTGTTTTCGATAAAGTGTAGACAATTTGGATTTGTGAGTACTCGCCCATGCAACATTAGCGTATATATAATAGCTTTGAATGAACGAGAAATATAGAAGTTTTAAATTTTCAGGAGACAGTATTGAACTAGCTTTGTAGAGGATTCCAATGTTTTTCGATATTTTGGTATTTATTATATCTATATCTAGATGCACTTTCCATAAGATGTTCTTATCAATAAGTATCCCAAGAAATTTAGTTGCTTGGGTTTACTCAATTTCTTTAGTATCTATATTTAGCGAAGGTAAATTAGGTTGTATTTTTTTAGGTTGGAATGAAAATAAAAACACTTGTAAAATTTGAACCACTCAATATAATTTGATAAAAATAGGTGCAAATGTAGCGAATAGTCACAATAAACTCTGGACAAAATTTCAGCCTGATTGAATGACTGGTGTAGGATTTATTGCAGTTTTAGTTGAATTTTTGTCAGTTTTATGCTACTTATATGTCAAAGCGTTACCGATTACTTTGAAATTCGGTCATTATTTTAAAAATAACGGTTACATAATTGTCTATATTTCTAAAACAAAATGTCCTCGCAAAAAAAAAGTGGGCACCATGGCTCCCTTGACGGCCATGTATGCATAGCGTGAATATACCAGCATTTCCTAAGGCTTAAACTACTGAAAAAATGCAAAAAAATTCTAAAAAAATGGTTAAGAAAGATTTCTAGGGATACTTACATAGAAAATAAAAATATTTATTTATCTGAAAACAGAACAACTGAGAAAAAACCAAATATTTTTTATATTGACAAAGATAATTGACTTAAAAAATTTAGATAAGTTAACTAAGATATCTGACCAATACAAAGTTTGGAGGGCCAGTCGGAGGAAAATTACTCTAACTGAATAGATAACTAGGTTGAAGGGTTGTTTTGAAATAAAACAACCCGTGTGACAAGTATCATTAGTTTAATAAGTGTGACAATTATCAATAATGTAATTTCCTTACAAGTAAATAGTTTAAACAATTGTTTCCTGGTAAGCAAAGAACTATTCAGGAATTATTTCCTTGTAATTTAATATTACCTAAGTTAAATCAAGTAAATATTTCCTTTATTTTAATGGTTCCTTTAATTTAATTAATAGTATGTGTTACTATGTTAAGTGGATTGTTATCAAATTTAGGTCAAATTTTGTAAAAGGCAGAGTTTGATTTAGTGCAGTTAAATTTAGTGAATTGCCACGATGCCAAATTAAGCAAAGAATCATGATAAAAATCGAAAGTTTGTGTGTTTGCTCTGTCTGAAAAAATGTTCAATACAGCTTACTACTTTTCAAGCAGATCGAATATGCCAACTGTACAAGACTAAGGTCAATATCAGTGATACTCGGGTACCAAACGGATTCTGCAAATCGTGTAGAATTACTTTGCGCAGGAAACTAGAGGGAAAGAAGTTGCATTCCCTCCTTTTTTTGATTTTAAGTCAATACAAGTCAGACCTGAAGAAAGAGGCACAATGTGTTGTTGCCTAATATGTTGAATTGGTTGTTCAAAGTTGCAAGAAAAAGATCCTCTTATAGACCAAACAATTATTGAGAAAAAATCAAAGGTGCGTTGCAGCAAATGCCTCAGCCCTTTAGGAAAAGTTTGCCCCATCAAATAATGTTAAGGGAAAACACTCAATCTTTAGCAGCAAAAGATGGCAAATCATTTGAACAAATCGCATCTCGAGTTATTTCCAATAAAGAATTCACTTACAATTACCCCTGGTGAATATTTATACTTAAATAATTTTAACATATATATTGAAATAAAGTCTTGACTATTAAGAAATAACACTAGATAGATTTCAAGAAGTATATTTTTGACAAGTTTCAAACTTCTTTAAAAACGAATAATTTAAAAGTTTTAAACTTACTAAACAAAGTTTACTGTAACTATAAAATATGTATGTTTTGGTTTTAGGTCAAAGTAGTACGCAGACACCATGAAGTGCTTCGAAATCGACCATTGTAGCCCTTGCAAATGTGCAATTTAATACGGGCCTGTCAAATAACGGATTAAAGAAACTTGTTAGAACTATAAACAAAACGTCAAGCAATAAAATGGTAGAGCCAAATTTCTACATGAATTTTCTAAGACTAGGACAACAATTAAGCGGTTTCTTTACCTGCAGCGACTTAAAAATCACAGACGAAAAAACAGATTCTTGTACAGTTCATGTTGTTGCTCACTGCAATGATTTATCAAGTCTTGTGAACCATGTTATTGAGTCCCGAAAATATTTCTGGTGGCTATTTTGTTAAGCTCGAAATTGATGGTGGCAAATGTTTTCTCAAGTTTTGCCTAAGCATTGTTGATACTGCGTTAAGGGATAAATCAGCTCACCGCACCAACAACAGCCTCTCACTCAAAAGACTGGTAAAGACACTGGAGTCAAGAGACAAAATATTGTTGGGGTTTTAGTAGATTTGCCTGAAACACACTCCAATATTGAACAAATCTGGTCACTAATTAATGCAAATGGAGTTAAACTAATTTTGGCTTGTGATATGAAAGTTGCAAATATAATTTGTGGTCTTCAAACTCATTCAAGTACGCACCCTTGCACCTGGTGTGACGTCAAATTTCATTGACTTGCCAAATCTGGAAACTTGCGAACACTGGGCTCAATTAATTCAAGCCTTGAGTCTTTTCAGCAATCTGGCGGGGCTGTTGCTAATGCAAAAAGTGTTTGGCAATGTCATTCGAAAGCCAATTATCTGCGGGCCTGTCACTGTTCTGAATTTAGAAATCATTCCACCGATGGAATTGCATCTCCTCTTAGGAGTTGTTAACCATCTTTTCAAGATCCTTAAAACTGCTTGGATAGTAGCTGTTAAGTGGCCAGCCGCCCTCCACATTCAACTAAGCCCGTATCACGAGGGCCAGTTTGAAGGAAATGAATGCAGGAAGCTTCTTAAAAATGTGGATATGCTGCAGCAACTTGCTGAGACAAACATGGTTCCCAATATTGTGTGCATAATTAAAGCATTTAAAAGCTTCAATTTAGTTGTCAAGACTTGCTTTGGATACATCCTTTTAGCCAGATTTCACTTAATATTGAAAATTTCAAAAAGTGTTACCTATTGATAACTGGTGCAAGCGTAACACCCAAAATTCACGCCGTCTGCTACCACATCAAGGATTTCATCAGTCACAAAGGATCCCCCTTGGGGTCCTATAGTGAACAAACTATCGAAACTTCTCATCAAGACTTTTATCAACATTGGTCAAGGTATAAGTAAAAAATAATTATCCAGAGTACAAAGAAAGATTGTTGCGCTGCATAATTGATCTAAACAGTAAGCATCTTTAAAGAACATCATTTGAGTTATTAGAAATTAGGCTGCTGAAATTCATATTTTACGGCGTATAATGAATATTTTCACTATCTTTAAAAGTAGTATTACAGAGTATTTGTATTAAAAGCTTTTTTTTGAGCTATCTATTAATAATTTTTTGGTGGAGAAAATCAAAAAAACATTTCTTAAATACAATGTAAAAAATAGGGTTTAAATAGTTTTCACTTCATTTTAAAAGTAAACGCATTTAAAAAGGTCAATACAAAATATTTTAGGAGATCTACTTTTTTTTGTTTTGTTTTACTAACTGGTAGTCCTTTGACCAGGTTTTTCACTTTTTTTTAGCTTTTTTTTTTTGGCAGCAGTTTATAACTTAGGAAATGTTGGTATATTCAAGCGAAGTATACATGGCCGTCAACGCTGGGAGGCTAGGGGGTCATGTTTTTTTTTATTTATTTATTACTTATTTCAGTGATCAAATACAAATACAATAATCCATTTATAATTTGATGAAGAGGTGCTACACCAGGCCCCTATATGCTGACGAACATGGAGATACAGACGCTACAGACAAAGCAGCAGTTCTATAAAGTTACTTTCTTATATTGTTTTTGAAAGCGTTGATGGATTGAGCGTTCACTGCTTCTTGCAAAAGCGCATTCCATGGGGCGACAATTCTATTTAAAAAAAAGTTATATCGCTCCTCACAGTTTTTTTATCATCTGACGTTCTAGTTTATGGTTATGGCCTCTTAGAATATACTTATCTTTACTTTTTGAAAATTTTTGCGGACGACAAAACTGACAAGCTCGAGTTTACGAGTGATTTTGAATTGCTCGATAAGATCTGCCCTTTTGCGGCGTTCTTCAAGAGTTGTTAAACCGAGCTGTTGGAGTCGATCTTCATAGGACAGGTGTTTAATAGTCGATATTGTTTTTGTTGCTCGTTGTTGGACTTGCTCGAGAATGGCAATGTCTGATTTTAAATGCGGTGACCAGGCTTGTACAGCAAACTCAAGATGGGGGCGAATGTAAGTGATATACAGAGTGCGCCATAAATAAAAACTGCGACTGCGAAATATTTTTTTGAGTCGCCCTAGCATTCTATTTGCTACTGATGTGGCTGACTCTATTTGCGGTCTGACTTTAAGATCATTCGAGACCATCACACCAAGGTCTCTTTCGACTGCGGTTTTTTCGAGAGGACGACGGGTGCCGTCGACGTTAGACATTGAGTATTTGTACGTCGACTTGTTACATCCGCGCTATACTTTTTTTTGCGAGGACCTTTTGTTTTAGAAATATAGGCAATTATTTTAGAAATTATGGATTTTATTTTAGAAATTGAGGGGTTGACCCCCTCCTCTTTGAAGGCCGTGTCGACACTAGTAGCATAAGACTATTTAAATCACGCTTTAAGTAGAAAATCACTATTTTGGTCTATCAAATGAAAACTGTACATGTACTGATAAAATAATTATAACAAAAATTGTTGGTATCACATAGTAGAACACTCATGTAACCGTTATTTTTAAAAATAGTGACCGAATTTTAAAGTAATCGGTAACGCTTTGAGATATAAGTAGCAAAAAACTGACAAAAATTCAACTAAAACTGCAATAAATCCTACACCAGTCATTCAATCAGGCTGAAATTTTGTCCAGAGTTTGGTGTGACTATTGGCTACATTTGCATCAATTTTTATCAAATTATATTGAGTGGTTCAAATTCTTCAAGCGTTTTTATTGGCGCACTATGAAGTCAAAATTTGACTTAGTTTGAACATTCAAATTAAATTATTTTCCGCCGACAAAATTAAATGATTTCAAAATTTGCATCACAGGATACCTTGATGTGTACGCTAATTTTCCGTATAAGTGGAGTTCTTGGGACAGCTAGGTAGGCATTATAAAGATCCGTGCTAACCGTGTTATGTCAATATAACCTGCACCGCGACACTAACTTATTGCTAAAGAAGTTATTTAAATAATATATTTATCAAAAAAAAAAAAATCTTTATATTCGTCCGTATTTCACTGTTAAATTGTAAAACTTTATATAGAACTACAGGTAAAAATAATATATATACACTCCACTCCCTCCATACCTATTTAAGTCAGTCGATATATGTAACTACACTGCGACTACGACCATATCAGTCAAGTTATGTACGCAATGGTTATTACTATTTTGTGAAACTTTAAAAAAATATAAATAATAAACGAATATAGTTACAATTAAACAACAATAATAATTAAAACATTTAAAACATTCAAATAAAAAACCCAAATCTAATATTTTGTTTTATTAAAAAAAGTTGAATCCTGACCCTTGATTGCCTTGATCAAACAAAACAAATTTAACCGCTCGCAGCTCTACGCTAACGTTGAAAGAGAAAAAAATAAATAAATTGAACATTTTTGCGTATAAATAATAATTTTTTTGTTTTTTTTGTACGCGCGTAAAAGTTATTATTTGTACGCGCGTACAAATAATAACTTTTAAAGTTATATTAAATAATAATAATTAAAATTTATATGTATTAAAATGTATTCATTAGATAACCAAAAACAACTATGAAAGTTAGAAATATCATACTATTTAAAACCAAGAATATTAGGCAGGGGCGAAGGGGGATTTGAAAATATGTCGCGTAATTTTATGTAAGTAAAACGTGACGATTTGTTACTAGGGCTGGGAGATAAGGATCCAAAATTGTCGAAAATTGCGTGAAGTAGTTTATGACCGACCCCAAACCAAAGAACATGTTGTGTCTACAATGTTTTAATGTTTGGGTAAAGTATCTACCATACTTTATTATATACATTAATCGGAATTGTCTGAAAAACTTAATTTGTTTTCTCTTCAATTTACAAATTTAATATAATTTATACCAGAAAATAATATAAGTTGTACCAGATTCCTTTATGTTTACGTTTTATAATAATATTATTTAGATGTTTAATTGTTGTTGTTGTTGTTGTTATTTAAAGATAGTTTTCACGTGTGTCAAATCGGCACGAGATTTAATTTTTGATTTTTTTTTTAAGTTTTGATTTAATATTTTTATCAGTATTTTACCCGTCATGGAATCTACGCTGTTGTAATAATGGTAACAAACAACTTATAGCTTATTTGAAAAACAACATACAATAAGAAAAGTTGTATTTTTACTAATAAAAATAAAAAAGTAAATAAAAAAATATGTAAGCGTCTCTAATGCCACAAACTAGCATTAAAAACAAATTTTCTTCGCTTCTTAATTCTAATTAATAAAGTAAAGAAGATAGTTAAAATTTTTAAAATTTGACGAATATCTTTGAAAAAAATTTGGAAACAAATATATATAAAAAATGGTTGCCATTGTACTTCTAGCAAAGTATGTTTTATTTGGTTGTGATCTAACCACATTATTTAATTTTTGTCTTTATTGACTGGACTAAGTAAAACAGTTGATAGCAATTTGAATTTAACACAGTTGTAATAATGTTCCCTGGTTCTTTCCTTTTTAGGAAACGTTTAAATATTTGAAATTATAAAAAACTTTTAGATAAATTTATCTTATTAAATGGCTAAAAAGAAACTTACCTAAAAGAAAAGAAAAAGTACCGAAATTTTGAAAAAAATTTCGAGCTCTTGTTTATTGTTAAGCTACTTTATAAAAATTCTCCCTTGAGAATAACACCAACATTCATTTACTTTAAAATACGTATTTTAGTCGTTTAATACAGGCAACCTCTTAATGCTTATAAGAAGTCTCATAAGCATTATTTTTTCTCTTAAAAAACTCGAAAAAAAAATTGTATGGAGAAATCATTTAGAGAACTTGTACCATTATTTTAACCTTTTTAAATGTATTTTCATTTTAAAAGAGAACTCAGACTCATCAGCTTATAGCTGTATGTACATCGAAACGTAGAACGCATGCGCAACAAAAATGGTTTGGTATAATCGAAGCAAAATATATTTTTAAAATATAATTAAAAACAGATCTGGGAAAATATGTAAACCAAATTTTAAGTAATTATGTACTTCTCAAATTGATTTTTCCTTTTTTTTTTAATGATTTGTTTTAAAAATTTAGAAATATGAAAAGAAGAACAATCGATGCTTCAAAATTGCGTAGACCTGTTAAACGTTCACGTATAACAGATTCTGTATATAGCAGGTGAGCTTATTTTTTGTTCATTTATTTTTGCAAAATAAAAAGGTATAGATATGCTAATATTATCACATGTTTGATATAATAAAATAACATATAAAATGATATAGTACTTATTTTTAAATACATACTACAATCACTTATTTATAGCTGCAGGTTTAAGTTAGATATTATTTGAATTATTGATCAGGTTTTCGCTTTAAAACAGCAACTAATTTAAAAATAAAAATAAAATAATAATAAAAATAACACAACATAAAACTAATTAAAGTACAGATTAGTTAAGAAAATTAATGTAAAAAGCTGAAGCTGTATCTACTTTTTTTCAATAATATAAAAATGGTAAAGCTACAGTTACGCAGCCTAAAATAATTATATTTTTGCGCTTGACTCGCAACGGAGTGCTGCTACATCGACTATCTTATAGCCTGCTGCTACAAGGAAGTGCTGTTACATCGAATGAGGGTTTGGCATGGGGCAGCAATCTTTTTTCACTTTATTATTTTAATTATATTCCTATTGTTTGTAAAGCCTCTACTGACAAGCGAAAAAATAAAATTATTTTAGGCCGCATAACTGTAGGATTATCATATAAGTTTTGTCTTTTTAAATTCAACTGTAATTGTATGTCTTATTCCTTTTTAACTTCAATAAAAGGTGGATATGATAAAAATACTTTACAACAGATTATAATTTTTCTATTCTTCTGTTACTCCTAGAGTCTCAGTTTAGTCAACTTTGGTTGTTTCTAACCAATTTTGTTTTAAAATTTGATTTCCCATCTTTAATATGTCAAAAAATTTGTTTACTGAAGAAAAGACAATAAAACAACTGATACTTCAGAGTTCCATCATGTCAGTGTATGGAGGTTTATGCTCCTTAATTTTTTGTTATTTTTTTTAAATAAAAAATCATAAAGGATGATATAAAACTGAACCTAATTTTTAACTTTTTAAAATATAAGTATATGATCATTTGGATTAAATTATTAACCTAGTGTACTTTTGATTGACTCATGTTTAGATTGAAATAATAACTGCGTTAATTCTGGTATATATTTATATTTATTTGGTGATTCAAATTTTAAATTTTTGAAGACATTTTTTTTTAAAAGAGTCCAAGCCAAAACTTTTAGTAATATATGTACACCATGCTATGCCTATGGAGCAAAATACTTAAAAAATTATTTAAAATCTAATTGCTTAAATATGAAAATAACTATAATCAGTTGAGAATTAATTGAAAATTATTTGATATCAGTTGAGTATGAAAACCATTGAAATCAGTTGAAATTAAAATTGGTCAAAAATAAAAAAATCATAAATTGGTTGAAAATTATAAAAAATGTAATTGATTGAAAACAATCTAGGCCTTAGTAGGACATCTTAAAATTATTTCTACTTTTTGTTACATTTTTTTATTGATCAAATTACTAAGTTCAAGTTTTTGTTGATCTAACAACATGACATGGAATTTTTATACTCTTTTATATACTGATTATTAGAAATTAAAAATAACTGCTACTTCAAATTTCCATTATATCAGTACACGCAATGATAGAGTTAATCCATTAAATTTCTTACTAATTAACAAACTTATTACACTGCATTGTTATAATACTATATTTTAGTTTTCGTAAAATCAGTTTTAAATTGAAAAAATAACATTATTAGTTTTTTTTTAGGGAGAGACGATGCATTTTAAAACTAAGATGTTCATTGTATAATTTTTAAAATGCTCTCTTAATTTGCGGAAATACTAAATAAGATTATGGCCCATGAAACATATTTCAATAGTAATGGTATATTAACAAAATATAGTTTTTTATATACTAATTCACTCCCAACAAAGCTGCAAACAACCACTATTAAGTTTGAAGTTACTAGAAAACGAAGAGTATCGTTAAAAAGCAAGAAATGGTTGACAGAAGACTTGAAAAGTTTTAGGTGGTATGAGTCTGTAAAACATGAAGATGGGAGACAGTTTTGAAGAATTAAAGTGTGAGGAAAAAACTAGACTTACAGAAGTTTTTAGAGCATGTTGGGACAGATATAGTAAAAGGATGTGGTTTTGCTGAATGACGAGTCAAGTTTAGCAGATGCTAACTCTACAATCATTTGCACGCATGGTTCCCATGAGAGGTCAATAGTGAATGATAATTCAAGAAGCTATAAAGAAGAGGACTCAGTAAGAGGGCTGCCATTCATGAATGTTAGAATGCCCACAATATTGCAGTAGTTGTTTCCAGTAAATAACTAAGTTTTGTTGGAGTTAAAGTTCATAAATCTCTGCAAGCCCCAAGCTGTTACAGAATAGATATCAAATTCAAGATCGATTGCCTGTTAAAGAGAACTTAACTCAATCATAGATAAAGCACGACAACCCAAGCAATGAGCTATGCAGTTGTCTCAGTCCCATTAATTAACCCAAAGTCGTTACATAGGGCTTTTTTCTCTATTGTTTTAATACTTTATCGATTAGTGCTTGTAGTATGAAAAAATTGTGGAAATTTTTTTTTAATTTTTTTTTCTGGAGTCACTTAAATTAATACAATGTAATACAATTGTGTCAGTTAACAGGGTTCCCACTCCTCCTTAAATCCCACTCCTCCTTTAAAAAATAAAAACCTTAAATATTCTTAAAAATTATAAACCTTAAATGTTTTTAAACAACCTTTAAAAAAGTTAAAATTTGGCTGCTCTCCTCAATTTCTACTTATTTTTTTTCCTAATTCAGAGGATTGATATATATATATATATATATATATATATATATATATATATATATATATATATATATATATATATATATATATCAATCCTCGGAATTAGGGTCAGCATTTGGCAATGCCGACCTAACTACCAACCTAAAAATGTTTGAGGTCAGCAAAAAATTGCAGACCTTGTTTCTATGTTTTATGGTCAGTCCTTTGTATCAAATAAATTTTGCCGACCTGATGCCGACCTCAAAAAGATTGAGTTTGGCAATAATTTGCCAACCTCATTTTTCCTAATTCCGAAGGTTGTATATATATATATATATATATATATATATATATATATATATATATATATATATATATATATATATATATATATATTATATATATATATATATATATATAAACGGCTGCATATAAACTTTTTAAAAATATATATTTGTTTTTATTTTAATTTATTTTTTCGATATTTCACTGATCTATTGTGATCAGCGTCATCAGGTGTAATAAATAAAAATCGTTACAAAGAAAATTGTTGTAATAAAAACTAACCATTAAAAAGATAACATTAAAAAGAGCATAACAAAATACAAAATAGCTTTAAATGTTGACGTCAAATAATCTAACAAAAAATGGCCCCCAAGTTTTTGTCCTCACGTAATCACCATCATCCCTATTTAAAACTTTTTCATCACTTCCAAGTTTATGTGGAACTTTAGCTCTGTTTACTTCGAGTGACTCTCGAATTTTCCGAATATGATACTCTGGAGCGATTGATATGGTTTTGGGATGTAACCAATCAAATGTACCCTGGCATGATTTGGAATGTTTGGTAGCACCTGAACTGGCCCATTTTCCTTTTTATTTTTCTGGTGTTCAATACATCTCGATATAACTTTCTTCTTAGTTTCTCCAATGTATATAGAATTGCATGAACATTTTAGTTGGTAGACGCCTGGGTTTGTATTTGGAGGAAGTTTTGCCTTATTGTTGCATAAAATATTGTTTAAATTTGGAGCAGATGTAAATATAACTTTTATGTTTTTTTTTCTAAGTTCCTTTCTAAGTTTTGGACCAATGATTGGTATCCATGGTAGTTTTATAAATGGTTGGTTGTCAGTTGGTTTATAATTGGTATTTTTTAATTCGTTTTTTAGAAAGTTTCTGGCGATATTAATTAGATTGTTCTTGTTGTGCCCGTTTTCAACAAACATTTCTATTAGAAAATCAATTTCTGGTTTGAGATATTTTTGAGAGCATAATCTCTTCGTACGACATAAAAACCCTTTGAATACGCCAGTGATAATATTAGGATTGATGTTTGAGTTAGGTTTTAGTTGAATATTAGTTATTGCTTCTTTTCGATGTATTTGAAATTCATAAGCTCCATGCATTGTGTTTGTAATATTAACATCTAGAAAGCTAAGTTGTTTTTGGTGGTTTTCGAGTTCAACAGTGTATTTTATGGCAGGGTTTTGTTCGTTTAGGATATTTAAAAACATTTGTTGTTGTTTTATTGAGTTAAAGCGAGCGTGACAGTTGTCTACATATCTCACAAAAGTATTTGGTTCACATGTACAAATAGTAGCTATATTAAGAGCTTTTCTTTCTATATTCTGTAGAAACACTTCCGCCATAACAACCATTAAAGACAAACCTATAGGACCTGAATTAGGTATTATTCGGATTTTGTTTTCATATAGAAAATAGCAAATACTCAATGAAAGTTCTATTAATTGGTATATGTCTACAAGAGATAGTTTAGTTCGAGTCTTGTATTTTGTTATGCTCTTTTTAATGTTATGTTTTTAATGGTTAGTTTTTATTACAACAATTTTATTTGTAACGATTTTTATTTATTACACCTGATGACGCTGATCACAATAGATCAGCGAAATATCGAAAAAATATATTAAAATAAAAACAAATATATATTTTTAAAAAGTTTATACGCAGCCCTTTTTATTGAATTTTACATAATTTATTATTATCGTATAACAAGAAAATGACTTTTAAAGATTATATATAAATACATATATATATATATATATATATATATATATATATATATATATATATATATATATATATATATATATATATATATATATATATATATATATATATATATACACATACAAAGTAATATATTAATTTATATTAATTTACTGATTAAAATATTCAGAAATGTATTTCATTGATATTTTATCTAATCCAGTATATTTTAATTGATAGTTAAAATATGAAGCATCTTTTATTAATATAAACAGACCATTCTTCTATTCTTTTATCTTATCATGCATTTGTTTAGGATAACTTTCAAAATCTCTCAAGATGTTTTGTATTTTTAAGTATAAAGTATAAATATTTTATTACTAAAATAAATGCAAGTGTTCCAGTTAAGGCACTGTTCCAAATTTGGCAACTCTCCCCTACTTATATGTTATTGACGTGCAGGCTTGAGCAGGAATGGTTTGCGATTGCATGCTGCAACTGACCACGCTTATATTTTTTTTTCTTTAAAATTTGACCATTTTGTTTGATGTTTAAACAATTTGGAAGCAATAAAAAAATTTTCCATGTCTTTCTAAAAATTTATTAAATGGTTATTTTTTGAAAGATTTTACTAATCAGAGCATGAAATGAATAAAAATTACTATATTTAAACAATTTTCTTTTCTTTATTTGCAAACTTTTGGAAAAATTTAATGTTGATACAATTAAAAAATATTATATATATAATAATTTAAATAAAGTTTGTTCATTTATTAAACAATCATTAGAAGTAATTTGTTGCTTAATGTAAAAGTGTTTTGCGTAACTTTAATAAAATGTTTCAAAAGATAATTTATAAATTAATAATTTCAAATGCATTTAAAATGTAACAGAAAGTTTGCTTAGAGTTTTATTTGAGGATTCAGATAATTTAAGCATCAGAATGTAGAGAGGTAGCAGCTTCAACATGTAGAGAGGTAGCAGCTTTAGCAGAAAAAAATAGAGATAGAAATAAGAAAACTTGGAGAGAGTGTGTTACATATTAGTATATTTTTAAATAATTGTCGAATGATTATGATTTTAAATATAAATAATCTTTTTTTAGTATATATCAACATTTGTTCAGCCCCAATCACAAACTTGGTTCCAAGTATGTTTCTCAAACCTGACCCCGACCCCATGTTCAACTTTCAACCTTGGTCGCTTACTAATTTGGTAATAATGGTTCACCTCCTCAATAATATCTTAGATCTGATGATTGTCATTTATTTTTTGTTTCTAAAAGTACATTTTAATTTCTTCATCAAGATTCCTCATATTTTTATTTCTTCTAATACGAAAAATCAGTTTTTTCAAATTTATTGTTTTTTTGAATTTGATACGCCTTTTAGGCAACTATTATAGATAGTATGACATAAAATTAAAATGTTCAGAGAAAATGTCTTAAAGAAAGTCCAGAGTTGTCAGAGGTGATCTATGTCAGACTGGTCTACTTGCATAGACTAACCTTGCTGTATCTGCATTCATTTAATTTTTTTTTTGCTGTGTATACATTCATTTTATGTTATTGTTTTATTTTAATTTTTGGTTGCTGTATTTAGGTTCATTTATTTTATGTTTTATTTAACTAGCTGGTTGTTATACTTGCGTTCATTTATTATATGGCTCATTGTTATTACAATGGATTTTACATTAGAATTTCGTTTTGAGTTTTTATGGCCATTTTGGTTACTTATAAAAAGTTCATTTGATTCTTTTAAGTACCAAGGATTGGTGAGTATTTATAATTTTATTTTTTTTGTTTTCAGTTCTTAAATACATTTACTGTGTGTTGAGTTTTTCTGTATTTTCTAATTTTTCTAAAATGATTTTTAAAAATAAGTTTTAATCTATTTAGGACTTAAGTAAATAAATTTAATTTTATATTTTGTCTTGTATATATTGCATTATTGATTTGCAAGAAAAGCATTTTTTTAAAAGGTTTCTTTGAGAGGGAAAAATCTTTCTAACAGATTTTAAACATCTTTCTAACATTACTGTGATATCATTTTTTCTCATTTTGTTTAAATTTTTTTTTTATTCATCAGCTTAGCTTTTATTTGTTCGATGTTACAGAGATGTTAGATACATCAAAATCTCTACTAGAAATCCCTCATTTTTCATTTAATATTTAATCCCTTAATTTTCATGTAATATTTTATTGTTTATTATTATTTGAAACTGTTTTTAAAACTCTAGCTTTTATAAGACATTGTTTATAGATGGTTTCATAGTTTTCTTTATATGTAAACTAGATATAATCTTCTAAAAGAAATATTTAATGACAAATTATTACAGAGTTTAAGTCTAAGTGGTTTCAAATCTCATCAGGAGACTCCAGCTTTTTTTTTCTTGAGAATATTTCTTTTGATTATCAATATTGCTGTGTGCATTGTTTTATGGCTACTTTTTAAATCATTTTATAGCATGATAGTTGCAGTATAAAATGATATAACAATTATAGTTGCAGTGTAAAATGATATAATAATGATAGTTGCAATATAAAATGATATAACAATGATAGTTGCAGTAAATAGTTTTAAATGTATTTGTTTAGGGATTAACAATACTATTCATATCAATAACACTGTTTTCAGACATCATCTGTTTTTTACTTCTTCCAACACATTGGCTATTTTTTGTTGCTAGTACATATGTATGGGTTCAATTTGTTTGCAGCACAGGTATATTATTGTATTAATTTAAATATTATTAAATTATTACTTTGAATAATATCAAAATATTATTTTAAATCTAGTTTCTGTTGAAACTAGTTTTTTTAATGAATTAAAGTTTAATATTTCTAATGAAAAAAGTGAATATAGTTTTTTTTTAATTATTTGTTTGTAATAATTTTGATTTCCAATTGTTTTTATTAAATGTAAAACTGAAGGATATATAAAAGAAAATCTTTTTATCGCTCTGATAATATTATTATAAATGCAAAAAATTATATGCTGTTGAAAGGCTTAACAATGGAACTAAAAAGTAATTTGATGTTAAATGTAGTTTCAATAATAATAAAATTTTATATTTAACAACTACTAGGTTCTTCTTAAAAACCCACTTTTTTTTATTTTTTTTTATGTTTTGTTTTCTTTTATTATCTTCTAGAAAAATTTTCTTAAACTAAATGAGTTAAATAATTAATAGAGAATTACTTTGCCATTTTGATAGTTTGATGATTTTGTGTATGCAATGTATTTTCTATAAGAATAAATATACATTGCATATAAAATATATCCTTAATCATTTTCCATACTTTCTTGGTTATTAAAAAAATAGATTTTGTTTTAAAAAGTGACAATAACTTTCAAAAGTTTGAATGAGAATTCGAATGTTTTTTAATTTTAGAGATGCATAGAAAAAAGGCTTTTCTTTTTTTAATTAAGAAACTTTTTCCCTCATTTACTTAGCAAAAATAACTGTTTATTAAAATACAAAAAATATACAGTGAATTATTATGCTCACTATTTTTGTTTTCAATGTTTTCAGTTATAAAGTTTATTTTATTTTTTATTTTTAAACATCTTTGCTTCCAACAAGGCTACAAGCATCCACTAATTAGAGTTAAAAGTTACTGGAAAAGAAAAGATGAAGATTGTAGAGCAAGATAACGATTGACAGACGACTTAAAAGATTGCAAATGATATGAATCAAGAAAACAAGATGAAGGAAGCGAATTCCAAAGAACTGATGTTCGAGGAAAAAAGCTAGACGAGTAAGAGTTTTTGGAGCACTTAAGAACAGTCACAGAAAAAGGATGAGACTTGAATTGAATGATGAGTAACACGAGATTGTATTTAGTAGATAGCACAAGAGATGCTAGCTCTTTAGAGCAGTGCCCATTATAGTATTCGTAGAAAAGAAAAAGAGAAGCAACATTACGATGATGTGATAATGGTTGGAGGTTGGCTGCAAGAGCAGGTCCAACTATGTTTACAATGCGTTTTTGCACCTTGTCTAAAAGAGAAATGGCATTATTATAAGATCTGCCCCAGATATAGCAACAGCATTCCATACAGCACCGAATTTGATGTTTATAGAGATAGAGAATAGAATCTGGAGTAAGAAAGTGTCGAACTCAATTAAGAGATGCAAACTTATCAGGTGCTAATTTTGCAACGGATTTGATTTATGGTTTCCAAGAAAGATTGGAAGTAAGAGTTAATCCTAGAAGATGAAAGGTAGATGACTCATCAAGTAAATTACTGTTCATAAATATAGGAAGGTCTAAATTATTGGGATAAGGATTAGCTGAAAAAAATTGAGTTTTATCTGAATTAAAGTTCATTAGCCACTGTGAGCCTCTTGTGAGATCCTTTTCAAGCTCAAATGCCCCCCCCCCCCTCCTCAACCATTTAGAGAGTGTTGGCTTCTTATCATGACAAGAATAAATGGTAGTATCATCAGCGAACAATGTCCCCCCCCCCCCTTCCAAGCAATCAAAGAGTGTTGGCTTCTTATCATGACAAGAATAAATGGTAGTATCATCAGCGAACAATGCCTTAAATGTGAAAATATCTGGAAGATCGTTAATGTAAATTAAAAGGAGTATAGAGCCAAGGGTCAAACCTTGAGAAAAATTGCAGGATATGGAGAAGAGTGCTGTCCATCGAGGACAACTTTTATACTACATTTGGAAAGGAAGGATTCAATAATCTTAAAGATGTTACCAGATACACATAAGAAGAAAGCTTATGGAGAAGACCAGCATGCCAAACATTATCAAAAGCTTTAGAAATGTCAAGAGCGATGACCTTAACCTCTCCATCTTTATCTAATGCATGATAAAATATATTGGTTATTACTGTTAGCAAATCAACTGTAGAACAAGAAGATCATAATCCATATTAATGATCAGATAGTAACTTATTAGATTCAGGATGAGAGATTAAGTGTTTGTTAATAAAACATTCAAAAACCTTGTTTATGATAGAAAGAAGACTAATGAGACGGTAGTTAAATGAAGCAGATTTAGGAAGAATGCAACTAGTGGAATCAAGAGATGATATTGATAAAAAGTTATTAGCAAACAATTTAGCTTTGTCTTTAGGTGAAGTGCCAAAGTCTGAACCATACAAGAGAGGTGGAACTACAGATTTGCTTTTAGTATAGATACTATTAAAGATTCTCCAGAAGTCATGAGAACCTAATTTTTGTGATGAAATATGAGATTTATGACCTGAGAATAGCAGGGTTTGGCATTAGACAAAATCTTTTTACAATGGTTTCTAGCAGTAGTAAACAGACTTCTTTTTTCTGGAGAATTGATTTGCTGATAGATATGGAAGTAATGGTTTCAATTTAAAATTGCAGCAGAACAATATGAGGAAAACCATGGAGAAGAGTGAAGGTTGACCTGGAACCGTCGAGAGGGAATAAAAGATTCCATGGCAGCCTGAATCCACGAAGTTATGTAAGAAACACATTTTACAGCAGGAAGACGAAAGATTTCTACCCAAGAGCCATCACAAAGAAAATCACGGAAAGAGTCCCAGTCAGCTTTAAGGTAGTTATAAGAGGTACAATGATAGGGTTTTCAGATGATGAAGAAGAATGAAATAATAGTTTTAGAGAGATCAAACTGCGATCAAAAGCACCTATAGATGAATGTGGAGAAACTGAGCACTGACTAGAATGAGGAACAAGACATAAGTCGAGTAAAGAAGATAAATGATTCCGTTGTATGGAAAGCGAGTTGGAAAAATGGCTATTTGAGTTAGGGGTTGAGGCAAAGTTTGTGGCCTTTAATGCCTGCAGAGTCACTGACACTAGAGCCAAGCCATTCTGTGTGATGAGCATTAAAGTCACCGACAACAACAATATTAGCTGATGGATAAAGAGAGAGGGCTTGGTCAATATGATCAGAAATAACATCAAAAAGAGTGCAGTTTGAGATGAAGGAGAATAAAGAGAAAGGCGATAGAGTGAAGTGGTGCTTAACGAAAGCACATAAAAGAATTGTCTGTGGGTTCAAAGCTAGTTTCCCGACAAATAGGTGAATTCTTATAAATGTAAATGCCCAGACCAAGCATATGACTATTGAAGTCTTTACGATTTAAAGGAAAATAACCATCAACACTTAGATCACAAGATGAGATAACTGAACTCAAATTAGTCTCTCAAAGAGCAAGTAGGTGAACTTTGCAAGAGATAAGACTCAACAAAAGAAAGGTTACTTCAAAGACCACGAATATTAGTGAATGATAGGTTTAGTGGTGATGACAATGGTTTTTTGTGTTTTATAGTTTTTGGTACGTTATTCATTTTAAAATTTGTTAAAGAACTTGACTTAAAGGGTAGATAGTACTCAGTACACTGTTTAATAGCCCAAGCAATTGCCTCATTACTATTTATAAACCTTAAGCCATAACAAAGGGCTCCAAATGTGGCCTTGGTAATGCACACCAAAAGTACAAACAGGGACACCATCCATGTGCAATATGGCACAATTAATACTTAGACAATTTTCAACTGTTGATGGAATCAGCCTCTCTGAGAGCTACCACAGAGTTCGGAAAACCTGACTACCAGCCAGGCTCAGAACCATAAAACTGAGTTTTAGATCTCTACCCTCATTAGGAGATAATAGAATGAATTGCCTAGTCATAAAAATAGAGATACAAGCAAAACTCATGCATTGAGTTGAGAAGATCCAGCATTCAACATCCTAAACTGGAAACAATGTATTAAAAATACATCTCTGCTAACTTAATAGATGAAGAAGGAATGCGAGGCTGATCAACAGATAAAATCTGTTTACTCCTTAAGTCTTTGTCTAGAGGCATTTTACTAGACAGAAGCTGGATGCATTTAACATCTGCCCAAGATGAGTATTTTTATCAAGACACCATCTCTAGCCTTTACTTAACCAAGAGCCCCAAGGCAGGGGGTGTTTTAAATTGGAGTTAGCATCTCCTAGCCTTTACCTAAAAAGACATATCTTACAAGGCAGCAGGACATGAAGCAGATTGTACTGGGTTACATGTTACCAGTAGCAGGATAACTTGTCGTGACAAATTTTACCTATTCAGTACTTTCAGGGATGTGGCAGGTTGGAACTCTGTAGCTTTTGGTTAAGAAGCGAGGGCTTTACTATTTATTTTTTGGTTCCCAAACATGGATACTTGTCTGGTCCCTAAACACTTTTTAAACTTGTTTTTTTAGAGTTTTTTTAGAGTTAAAAATAAAAACATTATTTTCTTAGTTTATATTTAGTAATAATTATTATTTTCATTCATCATAGTTTTTGGTACTATTGAGTGAGTGATGGGATTCAATTATGGAGGTAGTGAAGGGGTACAATTTACACAGTTTATACAGAAGGGGTACAAGTTATAATTTACTTTTTATATATCTTATTTCCTTTCATTTCTTTACAAAATCCATGTTTTTTAAAACCTTTTCTCTAAAAACATAAATATTAATACCCTATTATCTTTATCTTTAGGCTCATTAAATGCAAAACAATCCTTGATATTCCATGGCTTGATGCCTCAAATATCTGTATCTCCCTAATTATTTCATTTCTTTTCATTGTTTCATTTGTATAAAAAACATTATTAAGATGCATGTGAAAAATCATTATTAGAACCCAATTTAGGGTGCATGTGGAAATTCTTTTTTTTTTTTTTTTTTAAAAAAAAAAATCTTAGTATAATTAAAAATGTTTAAAACATTA